ATCCTCAAAGTGGTGGGCATATCTCGGGCAGGAAGAGTCGGAGGCGATGATTTTCTGGTGCAGGTTTGCATTGTCGGAAAAAGAAACCAACCAAAATCTCGACCTTCATGGGTGCCTCGGAGCCCCAAGTGTGATTGGTGTGGATGTCAGATCTCATCGGCAGAGGAGAGTAATGAGTAGGCCCACCTCATGGAAAACGGGACGCCGTGGGCAAGGAACATGTCATAGGGCACGTCCTTGGTAGCAACATCCTGCAGTGAAATTCAGCAAAAAAGAAAAAACATCCTGCAGTGAAGATAGCACAACGATCGCAGTCAGTACTGATCGCAGTAGCTTAGTCCATTAGTTGCATGCCAATTTTAGCTCTGGTCGTGCATCTCACTTTTTCCCACAAAAAAGGCCGGTCACCCCAGGTCACGGGTCAAGCACGTAGGTCTGCGGGACGGGACCGAGCTAGCGCGGCACGGCAACCGCGTTTTACCCGGAATAGACCAGCCTGACTTCGCCGGACGGGCGCAGTCGCCAGAGCTAGCACCGTTCTGGACGCGAGTAATCGACCCGTAGTTTCCCACAAGCAAAGAGGGCACCCCGGCGCTTGTTTCCGCGAAGCAACTCGCCGGGCCACTGTGCGCTCCGCGTGGCCGGAAAGTGTGACAATATCTGCTCACTTTTTCTGGAGCCGCCTCCTGAACTCTGATCGGCCGGCTGGCCGGCGCGGAGCCCGCAATGTGTGCGCGTGTGTTTGTGTGGCTCGAGTCGTCATCCACGCTCGCGAGCAACCGTCCAGAGCTCCAAGGTGACCATGCGCAGTTGCACGCCATGAGACGTGCATGCCGTCGTGCGGTGCCGTGTCCGGTGATGAACGCCCGGTCGTCCTGATGCCTAGATCTAGAACCGTTGTCTTGCGAAGTTAGATGTGATGATACAGTAGATGGTTGGATGTTGATCAATGACTTAGAAAAATGACAGAGATATACAAACATTTCAGGTAACTTAGGAATGGACACTCCCATGCCCATCATATTTAGCTACGATCTGTTGGATCTCAACGTCACCCGTCAGTAGAAGGCAGCTTCCACAAATCAACAGTACCAATGGGAAAAGAAACATGAATGGAAAATAAATCTCTGGTTGAATATGTGCACAAACAAGTAAATGAAAAATAACTCTAACTCCCTGAAATTCAAATATCAGCACAAACATTTACATTCTTGAAAGGAAGAAAAATGCCAGCTTCCATCCACACCTAATACAGTTCAACTATTTTTTTTTTGAAACTGTTCAACTAATTTAGCAGTACCAGAATTTTTGAAAATTCAACTGCTCAAGGGTCGATCACTCAATGCTCATTTACCGACTCTCTACAGCTGTTAATAAAGCAGAGCGAAACCCCAGGCTCACCAAATTTACTTTGTTATACGTACCTGTTAGTCTACCCCCTCTGTAGCTCCACCAAAAACAACGCGTTCTGATTGGAGGGTATACAACCTGCGTGTACCCATAGCCCTCGCTCTGCGGTGTCAGAAAAGCCGTGGTGGCTTCCACACCACGCCCCGCGCGGGAAGCCCCCGCGCCGCGTCCACCAAAAATCCCCGCGCCGCCACCGCTCCGCAATCGCACCCCTCCACCTCCGATCCGACGGCTGAGGACGCCCCGCGCAGCATACACCGAATCCACCTAACCATTCAGCCAACTCGGTCCAGCTCACATCTCAAGCATCTCGAGGCGATCGTACGGTTCATGTCTCTACCCAGTCCATGGACCAAGCGCAGCGACCTTTCCAACTGCTCTCCCCCACCCGCATTCCACGGCAGCACACCCAACAGAGAGACGGAGGGACGGGCGAGCGTACAAATCCACCACCCCGGCCTCTTTGCCTTCGTCCAGTTGATCCCTCCGCTTCCACCTTCTCCCCTCCCCTTCTCCGTAGGGTTTAGCGGCGGGAGGAGAGGTCTCCGGATGGCGTCGTCCGACGTGTGGGGCGACGACCCGGCCGGCGGGGAGTGGACCACCGTCACTCGCTCCGGCCGGCCCAGCCACGCCGGCGCGGCCGGGCGCTCCCCCAACGCCAAGCGGGCCGCTCCCCGGCCCCCCAAGCCGGCCGCGCCGACGGTGGTCGAGGTCGGCGAGGGGCTGGCGGGGCTCGACGTCGAGGGCGCCAGCCGGACAGGGAGGCTGGACAAGTACGACATACCGGTGGAGGTGAGCGGCGACGGCGCGCCCGCGCCGGCGGACGGGTTCGAGCAGGCCGGGCTCGCGGAGGCCGTGCTCAGGAACGTGGCCAGGTGCGGCTACGACAACCCCACGCCGGTGCAGCGCTACTCGATTCCGATAGTGCTGTCCGGGAGGGACCTCATGGCGTGCGCGCAGACCGGGTCCGGGAAGACGGCCGCGTTCTGCCTCCCTGTGGTGAGCGGGCTGGTGGCGGCGGCGGCGGAGGGAGGGCAAGGTGGCGGAGGGGGTCGCGGCGACAGGGATGCGTACGACTACGACTACCGCCGCGCGGCGAGGCCACTCGCTCTCGTGCTCGCGCCCACCAGAGAGCTTGCAGCGCAGGTATGGGGCTCGCCGTCTCTCTCTCTCTCTCTCTCATGCTTGTGCGCGATCTATCGGACGCTCTGTTTTTGAAGATGCATTGTTCATTGTTGTGCCCAATTTCGCCATGTCAACGTCTCATAGATGCTTGTTCCCGTTCGCGCGCGCCTGAAATCGCGCAAGAGTTATTGTAGATGCCGCCTTGCCGGTCTTGGCTCCTGTGTTGCTTTGCCTGCACGCGCGCGCGCCGTAGGCGTAGGCGACGTGTGCGTGCCTGTGTTCGTGGTTTCGCCTGTGCGAGCGTGCCAATATGAGGGTGGCAGGTGTGCTCCCCTTGTTCATGTCTCTCTGTGAACGCATTGTGCGGGCTCTGGGGCATCCCCGTCCGTGTTTCGCTGTGCAACGGAGCGTTCACAGTGCAGGAAGCATGCCTAAGCACCTTTGTACTTGGGCGTTTGCATGGCTGATCTCGTTTTGGTAGATTTTTTCTTATGAAATGTGTGGCGCTTGAGCTCTCATAGATTATGTGTGTTGTTTGCCTTTGGTCTCTGGAGCGCATAATTGTCTCATTAATTTATTTTGCCCTGTTTTATTACGCCAATTTGATAATATTATGACGTTTGGTAGAACTTTGTATCTGTTTACCCCTTTCTGTTTATTCATTTACTTACTCTTTGAACACTGTATCAGTAGCATTTTATTGTGTTATGCAGTAAATCTGTATGCCCATTCATTAATTTCAGTATCCTCAGTGTGCTTGTACTTCTAAAATAATGGATTCTCCTCAGTTCCATTCTTTTGACCAAACTTCTAGTACCATTTTGGAGGTTCCGAATTAATGGATCTGTCACTTTCTTATATGTGTTACTGTTGAGATTTTCCTATGTTGCATTAATTATCATCTTGCACAATTGGCAAAGTTTGGTAATTAATCTCAGGGCATTGCGCTCTATTGTTCCTCATTGTGTCCGTGAGTGGATTTGTGTTGATCTGATTTACATACAACTTCATGTTCTTGCTTGCCTTCATTTGGACAACTATTAAGTTCTTGCTTACCTCATATGTATGTACTTTATTTGTGATCTGGTAGCTACATATATCTTAAGTTAAGGTTATGAATTGGCAAGGAAGGGTGGGTTTTCTTATTTCAGTGGGATGTAAAAATTGCATATCCACATTCTTTGGCCGATGTAGAATAAATGCAAGTTGTTGGCAGCTGTTTTGTAATGTTACCCATTCTTGATTCAAAATGTATCTACACAGTTTGTGTGTGATAGTACTAGTATCGATTAGTTGTGTGCGTTGAAAACAAATATGCATTAGTTTTGGATATCTGGAGCTTCCTTTGTGTTCCATGGACTAGCTTCTCTTTTGGTCAGAAAGCAATATTTCTTTTTTAATCATAGATGCTCATCTCAAAGCTCTTATTTGTTTATGTGGGTGTGTTAGGTTTTGGAAAGATTTTCAGTTGAGATATTATTCTGCAATTCTGTCAATAAATAACTACTAAACGTGGTTGCATTTATTTTATTTACTAAATGTGGAAGTATGTTCTAATCATGTGAACAAAACCTGTGGTTTTACTACTTACTGACTCACTTTACTGTTCTGCGTCATATATTTCTGAAATACTGATGCGTAGTTTGATTTCCCTCCTATTCTGTTGAATGTTGTGTGTTACTTGCTATGTTTTGTGAGGGTTTCTGAGATGATGGGACCTTGATTCATTTATGTTACTGCTACATGTGGCAAGACTAATTTGCTAATGATATCTTGTTTTAGATTAATGAGGAAGCAAAGAAGTTCGCTCACAAAACTGGACTCAAAGTTAAGGTGGCCTATGGAGGAACTTCAATGGTTCAACAGGTGATTGTTGATTGTATGCTTCTCTTTTTCACACTGCCTTTTCTTCTCATCTCTGATGGCTTCTCTAGCTTTAAAGTAGCTCAGGTGTGCAGAAATTAGTTTAAATGTGTAGGATTAGAAAAGATAATTGAGAAGTTATATGCCACAATACTTGACATACTTGATGTAGCGCTCAAAGGTGATATGGGACTTTTGTTGCTCGAGTATGAAGTATTACATTGACGGATGGTTATCTCATCCGTCTTTTTTCCATTGCTCATCTTTTTATTAGAAAATGTTAGCATCACTCATATAGCATACTGTTTCTGTGCCTTTTTGTTTAGCAGTTACGTGATATAGAGAAAGGCGCAGATATTCTTGTTGCTACACCTGGGCGCCTTGTGGACATGATTGAAAGAGGAAAGATCTCTCTTGAGGCAATTAAGTACCTGATAATGGACGAGGCTGACAGGATGCTGGATATGGGGTTTGAGCCTCAGATAAGGAAGATTGTTGATGGGATGGGTATGCCACGAAAGTCGGTGAGACAAACTATGCTGTTCAGTGCAACCTTCCCACCAGAAATACAGGTAATGAAATACTAGTATTTATTTACCATGTCATGTAAAGTAGGATTAAGAGTAGAATAACTGAATGTTTTCATGTTTCTGTTTTCCACAATAGCAGGATGCTAACTACTAAGTTCCTTCAATGTTAGAACATAGCAAAGTAGCCAGATAGCCTACCAAAACATCTTATAATTTGGAACAGAGGAAGTAGATAGCATTTAATTCGTTGACTTATATTAAATATGAGGTTTTATACCATAAATCACTTTGTTTTTTGATTATTATTCCTCTCCAATGGACGATTGCATTTTTATTAGCTTCATGCTATCCATTTGGAAATATTTGAACTGATATACACTTGATTGTGTCTGCTTTAGATATATTTGGCTAGTATCCAACTTGCTTTACTTTGCTTTTCTTTCCAGAGACTGGCTTCAGACTTTTTGTCAAAGTACATATTTATCACTGTTGGGAGAGTGGGTTCAAGTACTGACCTAATTACGCAGCAAGTTGAGTTTGTCACTCACGATGAGAAAAGAACCTACCTGATAGATCTCTTACAGAAACAATCTTTCACTTCATCTGATGGCAAGGTAGAATTTGCTGCCATCTTGGATGTAACGATTTGGTTTGCTCACTATTTATTCTGTAAGACTTGTTCTCATGCTAGTTTTCTTATTTGTATAGCCTCAGCAGCCTCTAACATTGGTTTTTGTGGAGACAAAACGAGAAGCTGATTCATTGAGGTATTGGCTATACAACAAAGGTTTCCCTGCAACAGCGATCCATGGTGACAGAACACAAGAGGTAGTCTGAAATCTTCTGTCCTTGCCTAACTTGTTCTTTAGCAGCAATATAAAACTGCAGTGGCTACACATTATAACTAATGTTTTACTAGTTTATAATATCTGCCATGCTATATGGTTGCATGAATTACAAATTTAAGAGTATTAAGGGTATATCTTTCTTAAGCATATGTAGGCCTCTGATCTTATGGCTCTGCTTGGAGTATCTCTGCTAAATATTTTAGCTAGTTTTATCTGCCTCTTGTGTTCACTTGTTTCTTTTAGCTAAATAATACGACAAGTGGCATGTATTCGTCATTACAGTATCAATGATGACTGTATGTAGTTGCTCAAGACATGTGATTCATTTTCGGAAGTGGCAATAGCTTTTCATTGTATATTAAGAAAGAAAAATTGTCAAACCTTATTTATATGCCGGAGTTGCACATGTAACCAAGACGTGCTCACAGATTGCTGTAACCATGCAAATAGATTATTTGTTACATGGCACTTCTCTGGCATTTTCTTAACAGTTGCTTGATAAGTCTATACCAGTAAATATGTTGCACATTCATCTATGATTTGCTATGGACTGATATGCTCATGCATGTGATCTGAAGGAGAGGGAAAGCGCACTGAGATCTTTCAAGTCTGGCTTGACCCCTGTCATGGTCGCCACTGATGTAGTCGCGCGAGGCCTGGATGTTCCTAATGTTGCTCATGTCATCAACTATGATCTTCCCAAGAGCATAGAGGATTATGTCCACAGGATTGGAAGAACTGGGAGAGCTGGAAATGCTGGGAGTGCCACCGCCTTCTTCACTGAATCCAACCACCCCATCGCAAAGGCATTACTGGAACTGATGACCGAGGCAAAACAGAATGTTCCTACCTGGCTAGAGGACTACGCAGGGAAGCCATTCTATGGAGGGTCAAGCTTCGGCGGAAGAGGCCGAAGGTCCAATGGCGATGGTGGCAGCAGCTTTGGTGGCAGAGATTATCGCGGCGGGGGTGACTATTCTGGCTACTCTGGCGGTGGTGGCGGTGGCAGGAGCTACTCTGGCGGCGGTGGCGACCGCTACTCCGGTGGCGGCGGCGGCGGTGACCGCTCCTCCGGCAGCGGCGGTGGTGACCGCTACTCCGGTGGCGGCGGCAGGAGC